CCCGCTTCATTTTAAAGAGGACCACAATACTTCCCTAATCCTGACTGACAGACTACTTAGAAGATCCACTTCTTGTCATGTCAAAGACTGCTTTCTGGGAAATTTTCCAAATTGGAATTTAAGATGATCTCTATTGGCAGGAGACAGGCAAGGAGGTGCATTATTTCAGAATAGTTAAAACAGTTTACTTTTATACCGTTAACTTCAAAATTCAGTAGTATAATATGCACTGGATTTTCTTTTCTAACTGGTGTATCTATTTTTACATTTTTTAAAAGCCACATATCAACATATCTTTAAGGAGGATTGTTGTTATTGTTGTTTTTTAACCAAAGACAGTACATTGAAAGCCAAAAAGGCAGAACATCTTAAGAATCAGCTCTTCGACAGAAGCCTTCATTGATTTGCTGTGACCCTTACCACCTGTCAAGCACACAGCCTTTTCAAGGACAACAGAGGGGGCCAGGGGAAGAAGGACGATTTGGTTTTGAGACCCATTTTTTCTTGTGACATTTAAGTAGAAGAACATAGAGTGAAAGACACCGCAGCACCCCCAAAACAGCATTGCCTCTCTGGTGATGCGCACACACCTCCCAGGGGGGCACTTTCCTGGACCTTTACCAGATTCATACAGCCTCGGGTATGGCACAGACTCAAATCCATCTACCCCAGTCATGCTCAACTCATGAATTACTGGCGGGGAGATCGCACCCTGTCCGCAGTCCGGAGCCTCCTAGCACTCCTGAACTGAGCACTAGTTTAACTAGAGGACCTGGCTTAAAAATTAGAATAGCCCTCAAAGTTGAGGTGCTGTCAAACAACATATAGGCACTCGAATTTGGGGGGAACACCTCTAGCCAGGTGTGGAAGGAACCTAGGATGTACATGCTCCCCTTAGCCCGTTGTTTTTAATCCCAAGGAACTGGGCGAGTGCATGAGGTGGGCAAATAACGGGAAACTCTATGGCAAAGTTTAAGCAGTATTAATCGCTGGAAATAATCTTACCTCTTCAAGCAAGAAGCTGGCAGACCTGCAAGTCCTTTGCACATCTTGTTTTCTGTTAGGCGCTAAGTCTTGCGGAGACTGCAGTAGGAAGAGCTGTGGCTTCCGTTCTGAGCGCGCTTTGCTCCTGGTGTGATGCTGTCAGGATGCTAGGAGCTTCTCCCTCGCGGGGCTGCTTTTATAGCCCAGCCACCACCGTCCAGCCAATCAGATGGCAGCCCTGTAATACCAACTCCCTCTGCCTCTTCCAGTCCCGACAGAGAAAGAAAAACACTGACGCATTAGCAATGCAAAGTGAATACAGGGGAGAAAACCCTTTCACAAAATAGACTTACAGCAAATGAAAATGTACTCAGTGTTTCAACCCGTGTCGGAAGTACCGGATCCCTAGGGCGGAGGGGGGTGGGGTGGGGTGGGGGATGGTGAACGCTTTCAATGCTGCAAAACACGGGGCTTATTCATTTATCTGTCACAATGTCAAGGAAAGTTGCGTCTTGGGGAAAAAAGACAAGGTGCTGGGCAGAGTTCATGGGCTTTCTTTGGAGCTGACGCCTAGCGCAGTTCCTCTTTGGAGTTAGACACCTGGAGAGCGGATCCTGTTCCCAGAAGGAAGCTGGCAGCATCCTCACCTCCAGGCAGAGAGGTGCAGAAGCTGCAGTCTCCCTTGTTACAAGCAAGCAGGGAGTGTGAGGAGGGATCGCCAGATAGCAGAAGACTTACCTGCCGGCATAGAAAAAGGAGTCTCGAGAAAATAGACTAACTCGCCCCGCTATCAGCCCGACTTTTCTAGAAATCCTACTGAGCAGAATTCAGATAGCTCTAACAGCCTCTCCTGATGAGATATGCCTGCTAGGTAAAATCCAAAACGGCATCTTGAGGCCTGGAGGAGGACGTAGCAGAACACACACAGATAACCTTTTTTTAAAACTAGTTTATATCTTACGTGAATCTAGGTCTAATGTGAGTGTTCAAAATAAAAGAGAGAGAATGCAAGCAGGTAGTGACATGTACTGCAGCTCCCCAGACTTTATGTGAGTGTAATCTTCAGATCTTTCTTCCGAATACCAGGACAGCTAGTATTTTTGTTGATGTTCTTGTTAAAATTATTACTTTTATTTATTTAAAAAAATCATTTTATTGGGGGCTCGAACAACTCTTTTCACAATCCATCCATCCATCCATCCATTGTGTCAAGCACTTTTGTACATTTGTTTCTCTCATCATTCTCAAAACATTTGCTTTCTACTTGAGCCCTTGGTATCAGTGTGGGTCTTTGGGTTTTGACTATAAAATGTGGAACACTTGCATGATTTTCAGAAGTTTTCAGTCTACAGTATTGTGTGCAAAAAATACCAGCTGTGTAGCAATGATGAGACAGCTAGTATTTTTTGCACACAATGCGACAGACTGAAAACTTCCGAGAATCATGCAAGTGTTCCACATTTCATAGTCAAAACCCAAAGACCCAGCCTTGTGATACAGAGCGATGGTTTTCATGAGGGCAAAGCTGTAAGTGGAAGGAAGAGATGGCTATGTCTGAATAGAATAGGTTTCATTTTAAAAGCAGATCAGTTGCTTACCATAAGATATAGTGATGCGTATGTTAAAAGCAGGGGCAGAAGATGAAAAGGAGAGGGTTCTTGTGATATGTAAAAGTATCCCAACAGATAGACGGAGCTGGTTAGAGACATATGTTCCTCTGCCCCATTTGTACCTGTGAACACCCTATACTGCCACCCCATCCCACCTTTAAAAGAATGGGGTGGACAGCGAAGTGGAAAGAGATAGAGAATATGCATTATCTCCAGAAGATGCATCTAAATGACAGGGACAGCCTCTAGACATCTTCCTTGAAGGCTGAAAACGAGTATAAGACTCACTGCTGGGCAACTGTTCCTTGAAGAGTAACATAGAGCATATATAATTTGTGTAATTGCCAGCCATCCTTGGTGATACTGTGGAAGGAACAGCTATCACACCAGGGATGGCAGACCCAAGGAGATGAACCAGCTAGAATTGGCAGCAAAGAGGAGAGGCTAAATGGGAGAGAAGTTTACCAAAATTAACCAACACCATCTGTACTCAGTTGGGCACCCAAATGAGCTATCAGTCAAATAACATGATAGTTTTTATTAAATAATTTTATTGGAGACTCTTACATCTCTTATCACAATCCATGCATCCATCCGTTGTGTCACGCACATTTGTACATATGTTGACATCATCATTTTCAAAGCATTTTCTTTCTACTTGAGCTCTTGATATCAGCTCCTCATTTTCCGTTCCCTCCCCACCTTCCCTTCCTCCCTCATGAACTCTTGATAAGTTATAGATTATTAGTTTAATATCTTACATCATCCTCTGTCACCCTTCACCCACTATTCTGTTAAATAATGTGATTTTAGGAATATGAAAGAAGATTAAAACCCTTTTTCTGCTTGAAATTCTCTAACAAGAACAAAAAAAAGCCTAATAGTGAATAGTAACAAATCTAATAGATGAGCCACACAGGACTATAAAAGTGACCTAGTCCAACACCCTCCTTTTACCAAAGAGGAAATAGAGGTCCAGATTAGGGAAGTGACTTGCCAAGGTCACAGCTTCTCACTGACAGAGTTGGGCCCAGACCACAAGTTCTTTACCTAGGTTATATAGGGAATTTCCCTTATGTTCTATCACCTCACACAGTCATCAAATGAGATAAAGCTGTGTAAACAGAGGTATTCCTGGACTGTGGTGTTATACAAATATTTTATTGCTAGATTATGCACAGTAGATAATAAAATATAATAATATGTTTTTATAATTGCTTCAAGGAGGACTCACACTGCCTAATTTTCTCTTGCTCCCTGGGACCAGGAGACTTAATGTACCACACAGATCTGTTGAATTAAAACTAGGCCCTTTTAGTCTTTTCACAATGGAATTATTTTCTGCTTTGAATGTTTTATAGATACCGGGTGTAACTGGATGGGGAAGGCTCCTTTAGACAACATGGATGAGAAAGGAGAATAATACAAGAAGCTCTGAAAAGAACATCCCTTGTAGATGTAAAGGGCAAATGAAACGTTCCTTATCTAAATTGGAAAAATAAAGTAAAATAAAATACAAATAGAAAGTTAGAGAATTCAGAGTAAGACCAGATTCTTGAATGCCATACAGGATATGGTATGGTCAAGAGTATGGATTGATGAGTGGGTTAAAAAAAAGAAGATGGAAAATGTGGTGTAGACACGCAATGCAACGCTCCAGACCAAACAAGCAAACCTGTGGCCATCAAGTGACTCCAAGTCCCAGCAACTCTATAGGGCAGAGTCCCACAGGCTGTCCAAGGTGATCATTTTCAAGGGAGCTGACTGCTTCTCCCACAGAGAACTAGAGACCTTCCCATTAGCAACCAAGCACTTACTCAGTATGCCACTAGGGTGTTTAAGTCATAAAGAGCAATGAGGTCTTGCTACAGGCCACAACATGAACAAACTTTGAAAGCATTATGCTGAGTACAGTAAACCAAATGCAAACAGGTAAATATTATATGATCTCACTAATATGAAATAGAATAGGCAAGTGGATAGATATCAAAGTTCAAAGAGGTCCCAGATTTTGGAGGGACGGCCGGGTAAGAGGGAATCTTGGCTTAGTAAACATGGAGTTTCTGTTTATGTACATGTAAAGGATGACAGTGTTTGGGACGGTCACACAGCAGAATTGACTGGAAAATATAGAATTGGGAAATGCTATCTCTATTACAACTAGTGGGGGGAAAAGAATGGGAAAAAGTGCAATGAGAATTCGCTGATGGGATTGAAGCAAAGGGCTGCTGTGGGAGCCCATATAGCCTTGACCTCCAAATGGTTACTGCAGACACACAGAGAGAAGCCAACGATGTAGTTTGTCTTGTCTTCAGTTGAATGTAATGATATTCGGTGCTATAGGTACTTCAGATACTAGAATCGGTATCTTTTGCACACAGTATAATGGTACCAATATTTCAAAGAATCATGCAAGTGTTGCACATCCCATGGTCATAGTCTAACACCCACCACAGAGTTAAGAGGGAGGATGGTGGATATAAAAACAAGGAGGCTAGTTCACAGTTTAAAGCCTGACTCAACTCTCCTGGGGAAAGAAAGACTTATTTCACAAATACTTATTAGACACAATATGCTGGACACTCTGTAGGACCTACAGACCCAAATATAAATCAAACATGCTCCGTGCTTCTCGGGAGCTCACACACTAATGGGGAAGCCACGTGGATAATTGGACAAAATATTTTTGCCTTGTATATAGAGCATTTGAGGAAAACAGAGAAGGCAGAGTGACACAGTTTGCAGAATTTAGAGTGCTTTTTCACAAAGGAGACCCTGAAAGGATGATTGGAGTCTTAATTGGGTGTAGAAAGTAGAGAAGAGCCTTGTAAGGACATGATGATGGCAGTTGATTCCATTGGTCACTTAATTGGGCAAACCACTGTGTTAAGCACTTTATATGAATAACTTTTTTAACCCTCATGATCTGCCGCACAATTATAGTTCCTACAATGAGTTCATTTTATAGCTAGACGTGGTAGGGTTTAGGGACTTTGAGGTTACACATGTATTATGTGGTGGTGACAGGATGCAGATTCAGACCTTCCGGCTCCAGTGGCTCTCTACCCTTATTCCCGATGTCATCCCAACTGTAAAGGATGAGAAGGGGCGGCTTTCCCAGAGACCGCAGAGGTGTCTAATGTAAAGACAGCCTGGGGGAGAAGGAGCAAGAAGCAAGGGCAGATGGGTATGCTGAGACCCAGTTGCAAAGGAGGTTTCTTGTCACACTGAAGTAGAGAATTCATTGTGTAGTTGGTGGGAAGATGGGGGTAGGACAGTGGAGTTATTTAAGCCAATCAAGTTCATATTTTGAAAAGACAACTTGGGAGACCCTCTAGGAGAATAAATGGAACCGGAGAGAAACTGGGGACAGCGGGGGGAGGGTGGGAGTTGAATCCTATGACAGTAAGTCTTTTTGAAACGTGATGCTGATAAACAGTTACGCCTCACAAGGTGGTTGTGCGAATGAAAGGAAGTAATGCTGAGGCTGTAAAATGCTGAACATCTGGTCGCTATTGTTGATAACAGAAGCCGGCTT